AATATGCCCAGGTCAGTGCCACATCTCCAGTACTCCGGTGCACACGAGTTGTGCATGGATGCAAGTTTCTCAGGTGTTTTATACCAGTGGGATCTCATTTTGTAACCAAACTCTTGGTACCTTGTATTAATGGAGGCTTTGTATGTCAGCGTGACCGTATTGATCCATTGTTCAACGGGTGACCGAGGTCCCTCTCCCAGAGTCTGACAAAATAGGGGTGTTACGGTTGCCTCCAGGCTAGCTGGAAGTTGAACCTCTTGGATATCCTGGTTCCCGAACTTGGAGAGTGAGAGCGTCGCTCCGATCAGCATACAAAGGTATTCCTGTAAGTGTCCATAAAAATACCAAGTTTTATTACCCACATAAAAATACATAACTTTTATATTTTAATACTAAAATATCCCATTCGACCATTCTCTGGATAGCTCAGATCTGAGCGCACAAAATATACGAATGGCGCTCAGATCTCACGAATGGTGTGTAAGAGACACGAAATTAAAGTCTGTTCGTATGGTTTTGCACGAACACATGGGACAACTGGCACCTCAGCGGGATTCGTGCAAACCAGGAGCCGATTATAGTTCCAAGGGTTTTATGCTTAGGTCCCGCCAAGCATTCGAAGACAAAAAGATGGTCGCCACCTCGTGTTCGGCATACGAACCTTGGGAAAAGTACTTAGATTGCGGTTAACCACAGAAACCACAGCTTAATTGGAGACACACGTCAGAATGTAGGTGGTTGTCGTTCAACAGTTCTTCCGTGAGTTGGTTCGGTACCCCGTTCGGTTAATTGTAGACGAACAGTGACCACCTTGATGACAGTCAATTAGGCTGCGGTTAACCACAAACCACAGCTCCCGGGAGGTTAATTGCTGGCACACTCCTGGGGTAGGGTGGTCTGCTGTTCGTCGGTTCTTTTGGTCGTTTCGAGGTCAACGGGGTTAACTAGCGGCACACGCCATGGTCCGGGTGGTCGGTGATTCATATATATGAATGACTTGTAGAATGGGTTTGCATAAAACAAAATATTCAAGGTGCAACAAAAGTATCTGTATGTATCCGACAGAGGGGATCTTTGTAACAAGGGGAGTTTGTGATCTCCCAGTGGTGTGTTCAGAAGGCTGAACACACCACTGGGAGATGGTGTGTGGTGAGGGTGCAATTTGGGTGCATATTACCTCAAATGTGGTTAGTGGTCTCGTAAGTTTGGTATTTGTTTGAGCAGGCGTACTAACTGGTGGTATCTGATGTTTGTCATCAAGTTTGGAGGTTCAGGTGTAGGCAGTTCTGATATTGGGATGATGGCACCATTTGCTTTCACATGCTGGAGTCTGCAGTGTGATGGCAGTCCAAGGCAGGCCCTAACTCGTTTGGAGTTGATGATGCAGAACGATGGGTTGCATGTGATGGAGTACAGGGTGAGACAGATGGTGACAGGTCCAGTCTGGCTGATATCCTCCTCCAGACATTAAGGGTGGTAGCTATTATGGGGTGGCCCCTCTCCAGTCCTCTCTCCATTCGCGCAGGTTGCCAAGGAAGTGTGTTTAGCGGCAGCACCGAAAAGCTTCTATGGCGATCCAAAGTTAGTCCTTTGGTGCTAGGGACCACTCGACAACGAGCTGTAGGTGAATAGCTTGGTGGTATTTGACCAGGTCAGGGAACCCCAGGCCACTTTGTGTTTTGGGTTTTATTAGAATGTCGTATTTTACCCTGGCTGACCGGTTCCGCCAGACGTATTTCATGAAAGCCCTGCGTATCTTAGCGAAAAAGGTCTGGGGAACGAAGACCAGGAGCATCTGTAATAAATAGAGAAAGCGTGGGAGTACGTTCATTTTAAGAACATTCACGCTGCTGAGCCAGGTGATATGTGGCACTGACCATTCCTCCAGATTCTTAAGTAAGCATTCTAGAAGGGGAGGAAAGTTGTGTCTGAATCTATGAGAAATGTCTGCAGTGATCCAGACACCTGGATACTTGATCGCATCTTTACACCATTGGAATGGGAATTGTAATTGCGTCTTCAGAGATGTGATCAAGGTGCGGTCACATCCAAGGTGCAATATTTTGGATTTTATATAATTGATTCGGAGGTTTGCGAGAGAGCTTAATTCCTTTCAAATTCCTGCATAATGGCCAAGAGTGAAAATTGTGGGATCTGAATTGTGAATAGTAAGTTGTCAGCATAGGCTGAGATGTTGCTTTCTCCCCACTTGCCACCTATTCCAACGATGTCTGCAGGGGTGAAAGAGGGCATCCTTGTTGGGTGCCATTTTGTATTAGGAACAGGCTTGATAGTGTGCTATTCACATATGCCTGTGCCGATGGATTCTTGTACAAGGCCTCGATCCATGCCCGCATGTTCGGGCCAAATCCCAGCAGTTGTAATGTTGCAAACAAGAAGGTCCAATCTACCTCTCGAAATGCCTTCTCCACATCTGTGGATACCAGGAGTGAGGGCAAAGATCTCGTTCGAGTTGCATGTATCAGATTGATTACTTTGGTAGTGTTATCTCTGGCTTCCCTGTTTTTGACAAACCCCACCTTGTCCGGGTGGATCAGTTTTGGTAGGATAGGTTGGATGTGGAGAGCTAGAATCTATGCAAAGAGTTTCAGGTTGGTGTTCAAGAGGGAGATTGGCCTGTAGCTTGGGCACATTGTGGGGTCCTCGCCCTCCTTCAGCAGCACCACTATGTGTGCAATTAATGTGTTTCCATTTTTGGCTAGTTTCAGAGCCAGGGACAGCTCTTCCGCTGTAATCGGATCTTTCAGGGAGCAAATCATGTCTGCGTCGATCCTGGATTTGAGGTGCGTTTTTTGTTTAGTAAGTATATATAAGTCGGGGTCTCCGGGTCCCATGTCGTGTTTGGGTAGGTTGTACAGGAAGTCGTAGTACAGGTGGAATCCTTCCGCTATTGACTTCGGGGTGACGCGGATGGTTCCGATGGGCTTTATTTTTTAAATAAAGCACTTCTGCCTCTTTTTCCTCAGGACTCTCACTAGTATTTTTGGGTGGGCTTGTGTGTGGTAGGGAGAGGGGACAAGGTGAGGGAAGAGATAGAAAGAGCAGAAGAGCTCCTCGAAGAGAACAAAGAGGAGAAAAAAAGAGGAGGGAAAAAAAAGGGGGTGGAGAAGGGGAATGGGAGGTGCGAGAGGGAGATTTAGAAAGTACTCCGCACGTGCCTTCAGCAGGGGTTGGCGTGGGTGGTGTGCCTCAGATCAAGAGCACTAGTTAGGTGTTTTGACTGTTACAAGTGGTGGGGTGATCTGAGCCCTACTACCAATGAACAAGGATATAGGAAAAACAACGAAAACAGAGCATCAAGTCCACTTTAACAACATTTTTCAAACGTTTTCAATGACTTGTTAGTGTATCCTAAGTTGTACCTACAATTGAAGAACCTATTGAAACCCTTTAGAGACTTGTTCTTTCCTTTACACTTTTGTCTTGTTAGTATTAATTATTAGCAGTTACTTGATTAAGACTGAGTAAGACTCCCTCTAGGAGGTGACGTGGGTAGCTTAGAGGAAATAAAAATAAAAGTGGCAGTTTTCCTGGTGTAAGCTGTGTGTATAGTGAAATTGTGTACATGTGGGCTGCCCAGCTGGCTCCCCGTCAGTCCTTCAGTCGTGGTTGATAGTGTGGGGTGGCTGCGCTTTCCCCAGGCGGTAATTCTAAGCAGCTAGGAGGTGAGCTCATCTGTTGTTTGTCAGTGCTAGGGCTCTCTGCAGGTAGTGCTGCCGTTCATTGGTATATGGGCTTCTGTGAGGACTGAGGGTCCAGTATGATGGTGTAACAGAACTATGCTTTTGCCTATGCTTTTTGCCTGGACTTATATATCAATGCCGCTGGATGTATTACAAAAAACCGAATGACTATTTCGTGGAAATATCCTTAACAGAGTATACAGCTCAAAATACCGAACATCGGATCATCCAGGGGAACAGTTAAGTGGTATTTTACCTCCCCGCGCTTTTGGAGCCATTCGCATGTGTGACGAGACCAATCTCGCCACATTGCATTGGAGAAGCCTGGTTACTCGCCTGCTGCCTTTGGACTATGGCCCCCTGTTAAAAGACCTATTTTTTACCTGCAGAAAAGTTTAATTCGTGCTTTTCTGCCTGTGGTTCGGTAGATTTGTTTGCATGTGTTATACCCCAGATAGGAATCCCATGGAGCCCATTTGTATGAAACTGACTGTAAAGACTTTGGCTCCATGGCGATTAAACTGTATTCGTGTGGTCTGAGCGCCATTCACTTAATAATGTGCGCTCAGACCTGAGCTATCTGGGGATATGTGAAATGTCTGTGTTTTATGTATAAAAGGTGACTTTATGTATTTTAAAGTGTTTTGTGTCTTTTTGCAACCATGTGCTTAATGGAGTCTTGTGTCTGTCCTGGGAGATAATTGAATTACTTATCTCCAGGATAGAAGACTCTGAAACTGGTTTGGGCCGGAAAGCCATGCTTCATTTAGTCACAAAGGACTTTCCCTTAACTTTTGAACCCCTGGTCTGATTCGTGCCATTTTTTAATATGTTGTTCCCCTGAATGGATTGATTGTGAATATGTAATTTTATGTGAATGTGATGTATGGTTTTAGAGTTATGAAAGTTGGGTAGAAAGTATGTTTTAACTGTATGTGTAATTGAGTTTCCTCTCAGGATAAGGGGAGGGAATATGTGGGATGTAACTGTGATGTGATTGGTTGTTTTATACCTCCCTGTGGGCGGTCCTGTATTTGCAAGACTGTAATAAAAACCAGGCTGGGTGTGCCAGCACCTCAGACCACTGCTTGACCCTCAACACGGAGCCTTGTCTAGTTCTTGGGGGGATTCACTGTATGCTGTTAGAGACTGATTGCCAGGAGTGTAAGCTGATTGTCTGCTTTTCCTGTTCGTCTGCTAGCAGCTATTTGGGAGGTTCCAGTTCGGGAGTTGGAGTGCTATTTTGTATCCAGTATGGGAGTTTGATGTTCTGCAGTAGCTGTGCCTGTATCTCTGGAAAGGGGGCCGATCGCCTAAACGGTTTTTACCCCTTGTGTGCAAAACAGTCCGTTACAGCATGGTTTCACACGAATTCCTTTGTGCTCAGGTTAGATGGCCGCCATTTCGGGACTTTACACATGTTCGCGGCCATCTTACGCACGAACGGCGGTGTTTGCCCGTGAACGCATGGAACTAAAAATCGGATACGCAAACAGGCGAACACCGCTGAGACCTCCAGGAGCTCGTAATTCCGTGCTGGAACTACCGAACAACCGGCCGTTCGGTAGTTTTGCTTAAGCTCACATAGGGATTCCAGCGAACACCCGGATGACTGTGGATGGCAAGGGGTTCGTGGTTTTTTAATGCACGAACGGAGACCGACCGGCCAAAACTTATGGAACTCTTTTCGGCTAGAAAACCTGTGCGGTCTGTCAAAACTTCAAAGATCCATAACTCCCGAACCCCTCAACCGAATGGGCTGAAATTTGGACATGTTGTTCCCCTGAGTGAGAGCTATTAAGTGGTGCTGGACCCCCTTAAAGGAGTACCCCCTGTTTTTGGGGTACATCCAGAATGTGGGCAAAATTGTGTCTGTTTTAATTATGTTATATGTTTATCTGAGGGGAGGAGACGTGGGGGTTGTACCATGTATCTGATTAGCTGTTGTGTTAATTATGTGGGTGTAGCCTTTCAGGGGGCACCATTGCATAAAAGGAGACCCCTGTCAATAAACATCAGTTCTACTTGACCCTTCAAAACGTAGCCTCATCTCGTTCTTGGAGGGGATTTATGGTACCGTTACTCTGCCTCATTTTACAGCAATGCCGGATTATACACTTGGATATCGTGGATGGGAATAAGGACTACATTACTTCACAGCAGCTTGCCTAGAAAAGGACGTCTCCAACGGCAGATACCCCTTTCCAGCTGGGTAGCCGTTACAGATAGCTCATGCCTTATACGTGCGCGCCCATGCATGCATGGCATCTATGTTGGCTAAAGCAGTGTGGGGTTATTAGGGTAGGCCGTGGGTCATAGTGTGTGAGCTGGATTGTGCGACTTTCAGAGACTGCCACTGGTGTCAGCATAGTTTGGTTGTCATCTGTCTGAGCTAGAGAGTCGGTGTGCTCTATGCTGTCCTGCTGCATATCCAAACTGGGTTTTGTGTCTGGTCTCCGTAATTTCCGTCTGGAGAGTGGATTTTACCTTGTGCACAATCGTTTGGAGATCCTCCTGTAACAGGACCCAGGGCATAAAAGGGGTTAAAAGCCATTTAGTAGATATTCCCTTCCAGATATATAGGCAGCTACCAAAGACACCAATCTGCCGAACAGGAAACCATAGGAATGCCGTAAACAGCCGAATAGGAAAAACCATACGAATAGGTTTACACTCCTAGCAGTCGAACTGGAACAGCATACAATAAATCTCCCCAAGAACGAGACAAGGCTCCGTTTTGAGGGTCAAGCAGGAACAGACAGAGCTGTGTTTTTATTGTTCTTATATACACATTCTTATACATTAGTACCACCCACAGGGTTTTGTGGAACATCCAATCAAACACGTAATAAACGTTTTAATATACAATGAACACTCCCATTCATACCAGCAAAATCCTCCCCTCTGCCTGTGATATAATTACTGAACACAATGGGCTAACGTAATTATCACAGGCAGGAAAATACACAGTTTTACACAATATTCATAACTTTAAAAGTATACATCACATTCACATGAATCAGCATACTCCAAATACAAACATACTCAAAAATCTGACAATTCCCTCCAGTGGTTTAAAAGTTAAGTTGAAAGTCCTTTGTGACCACTGAAGCATGGCTTTTCCAGCCCAAACCAGTTCCACAGAGTGATCTATCCTGGTGATAATTGGCTTAACTGGGTGTGGTAAGCCAACTATCTCCAGGTACAGAAAATATCTCTATTCACAATAACAGCAAAAATAAACAAAAATACATCATTCCTATCATACTGAACAGAACCCCCACATTCAACCTATCCCCAGATGGCTTGGATTTGAGCGCTAAATGTATCCAAACAGGGCTCAGATCCCACAAACACAGTCAAATCGACATTAGGTTTAAGTTTAGCATGGGCTGATGAGAGAGGCCATAGTCATGAGGCAGGAGGCTAGAAATCAGGCTTCTCCATAACCCAGTGGCGAGGTTAGTTTCGCCACACCTTTTTAGGGAGCGACGCGAAGAGCGCATACCAGTCTGGGGAGGCTCTGTCCCTTGTGCTGACATCTGCTTGCTGGCTGTCTGACACGGAGGAGCCCGGGTAAGGTGGCGCCATGTATAAGGCCTCAAGTTGCGATGCGAGGATCATTGGTGTTTGTAAGTAACTGCGGATGGACGCAGATGGATCCTGTCCTTGCGTCCTGGGTGTTGAAAAGGTCATTTGTATGTGCTTTGTGTGACCCATGAGGTCGTGTTAGTTGCGGGATTAAGCTGATTTAGGCAGCATGGCTCGGAGCTTTGAGAACAAGCCATCATTCTTGTTCGGCACCAAGCCATGCCTCCTTTTTTATATTTTAATACAAATTAAAGACATGTTTTAATTTGTGGAGACAATTCTGTACCAGACTTTTATTCTACTCTGATGTCTTGTTAGCAAATACCTGTTTTTGTATTCTATATTCGTTTGACACGTTGGTCACCCGAGCTGCAGACATGATGGTAAGAAATAGTTATTTTTATGGTTTCTTCAGAAATACAGTTGATGTGGTCTGTTGAAATGACGCTGTCATGCACAAAGCCATCTTTTGGACTTTGAGGTATAATTAGCTACTTCTGGAAAGTTTTCCTAGTGGCTTGCTAATCCAGTATTTATAACCAAGAAACAAAATATCAGACTGAATGCAGTGAACTAAGAGCAGCCCATGGGATGCACAGAGAAACCATTTAAAGAGTGATTTCTGATCAATGAATTTACTAAAGATGTGCCAAATAGTAAAATGTGTTAAACAAAATGTTCTGGTCTGGCAACAGGTCAGCAACATACATATCCACAATTTACTTTTGTTGCCAATAGAACAGTAGTGTGTAACCTAAACGACCAACAGATGGCACTGGCATCCCATATTTTTTCAAAACAAGTTTTTCATTTATTATTATTTTTCATAATTTTTTTATTTTTTCCTATTTTGCTAATTGTGTTCTTTTTTCCCCCCTTTATTGGCATGTTATTATTTTTTATTTTATATTTTTGTTTTCAGAATTATGGTTTAAGGTATTCTCTTTTTGCTCCATACAGGAGCTTTATAAGGCTTTTTGCTGATTTTTATTAATGGAAATATATTTTTTGGCACACTGATAGTGTATATCTTTGCCAGCGTTTTCAGCATTGGCGCTTTGCGCATGCGTCAATCACAGACCGGTGTTCTATCAAATTTCCCTACCCCATTAGAAAACCCTACCCTCGTCACTACCGGTGACGAAGCCGCACCGGAAGTGACGTTGGGACGGGGGTGTGCGCCGCCGTGCCGGCGCACACAACCTAGGTAGGGATTTTTCACAGCGAGGAGAGAACCTAAAGGCATAGTGCGTACGCGCGGCACAGTACTCCCGTCGGAGGTACAGCGCGCGTGCACACTTGGGGACATGGAGCGCTTCACACACCGTGCATGCGCAGTATAGGGGTAGGGAAATTGGATGGCCATTAAGCCCTGACGAGGGTAGGGTTTTCTAACGGGGTAGGGAAATTTGATAGAATTCCATAGCCGGGTGCATTGGAACGCACACGCGTTCCACTTTGTTCAGACTACTTCTGGGTTTGACATTTTGAGGCGCACGATGCGGTTTGCGCCTCTATTCCATGTTTAATGGATTGATGTTTACGATCTCATGTTACCTGATCATCTGGCTTCTATATTTGACTGTCCTTATCTTATGCCTTATTTTTCCTTATATTATGACATTCAGTTTGGGTCACTGGATGTCGATGTATACATATTATGATTCATCCTGATATTTGATTGCATGACTATATGAAGTTTTTGTCATATCTTCTATTTTCTCACTATACTAGCCATGAATAAATATATACCTGGATGTCCTTAACCTCATCCTGATTACTACACTAATTATTCATGCCTGTATGCTTCATTCCTTATATTGAATGTTATATGTATGATAGGTGTATATGTTATTGTTTTTGGTTTCCTTGGTAACCATAAACAGGTGTTTATGGTTGGGAGGATCTCAATCATTATGGGTGGCCACCCAGTATCTTCAGCTGCTTTCAATGTATGTGTTCTTTTTGGGTATATAAGGATAGGATGTAGTTTCTCTCAACAGGCTCCCTTGATAAAGGCTTCTTGCTGAAACGTTGGGGGCTTTTTGATTGACTCTGTTCCTGCTTCTCACTAGGTCTGGTATGCTTTTTGTATTTTTTCTATATGTTGGATCTTTTTGGGGGGTTTGGATTGTACTAGTATTTTATTTATTTGCCTATGTTACAGATATTCTTGTCATTCATATATTATGCATTTGGTGTTTATATATATCCAGAATTTTCTCTGGTAGTTGCTTCACAGCATTATGACTTTGTATTTTTTGCTTTAAATGTAAAAAATATATTCTGATAGTATGTACCCATTTAATAAAGATTTTTATTGTATATAAACATTTATGGTTGTGCTGCTTACTCTATTTGTATTTATATGTACATGGGCTTTTTTGGGCGATAGAGCCTTATGTAAGTGAGCACCCAATACTTACTTACATAGCTCCATTCAGGGGCTACTTTGCAGTAAATAGTTACATAGTTAAAGTGAGTGTGCCTACCTTGCTTTTTTATTACCCATGGTAGCACAACACCATATTGTTAAAAAGTATGTACTGTATATGTTCATCCAGGGGCGTATTAGCCGCGAGGCAAACAAGGCATTTTCCTTTGGCGGCATTTTTCAGGGGGCGGCAAAAAACGCCGCCCCCCAAATGCCCAGGGCAAGTGTCTAGTTAGCCTCGCGGCTAACTGACATCCCGAGCGGGCGGCGCTGGCAGGCGGGCGGCTGGCGAGGGAGCTCTTCCTATGAGCTGACTGCTCAGCTCCCTCGCGCGCTGCAGAGTGAGGCTGGGAGCCGGAAGATGACGTCATCTTCCGGCTCCCAGCCTCACTCTGCAGCCGGCGCGTGAGGGAGCTGAGCAGAGAGCTCATAGGAGGTGCTCCCTCGCCAGCCGCCCGCCTACCCGCCCTGCAGCCACTGGACCACCGGACCACCAGGGAGAGAGACCCCCCCCCCAGCACTCCCAAAGGTAAGGAGGTTGGGGGGGGATTTAAATTAAAAAAAAGTTAATGTGTGTGTGTGTGTGTCTGACTGTGTGTGTGTGTGTGTTTGTGTCTGACTGTGTGTGTGTGACTGTGTGTGTGTTTGTGTCTGACTGTGTGTGACTGTGTGTGTGTTTGTGTCTGACTGTGTTTGTGTGTGACTGTGTGTGTGTTTGTGTCTGACTGTGTTTGTGTGTGTGTTTGTGTCTGACTGTGTGTGTGTTTGT